TTTCTTGACCTCGTCGACCTTGAGAAGGAGCTTCTCCTCGGCGTTCAGCTTCTCCATCATGGCGAGGCATAGTGTTGCCGTGGGCTTCACATCCTCGAGCAGCACCTTCAGCTGGGAGAGCATCCGGCCCACCACAACAGGGTTCATGCTCTGGGTGTGACTTCCCGGGCTGCCCTTCCGAGGGGTGTACTGAAGGCGGTAGTTGCAGACCTCGCATTGAGCCCACTGGCCGTGCGGATTGCTCTGCATCTTGGGTTGATGGCGTCCGTAGCATGGCCATTGGCTCTGGGAGTGACGGGGATCTCGGGTGTCCGGTCCCACACTCCTTGACAGGTCGAAGTCCTGCAGTGGCTTCTTCTTGGGAGTGGACTTCTTGATCTGGTCGTAGATCAGTTCCTCGCCCTCCGCGCCCAGGTGTGACATCGGTGGTCGGGACATGGCCGTTCCGGGAGGTGCGAGAGGTATACGAATTGGGTTCCCGTGGCTGGGATGCCACGCGCATTTGAGCAGATGCTCTACGGAGTCGATCCATCATGAGGATTCGCCGTGGATCAACCGCACAGTCAACTGTGGCAACATCATGCTCGGCAGAGTCAAGCTGGAAGTGCAGGGGATGAAATTCAAGCACATGTGACTCTCCCATCATGCCACCGGAACTCCCTTTGATGAGAACGTGGGCGTGACCTTGTGGGTTGTGCTGACCCTTGGTGAGATACTCCCTAATGTCCAAAACATAGTGTCCCTTGTGGTTCTGTCGAAGCTGATATGGACGGGGATTATGTGCCAGGGTATTCAAGGCCAGGCCGGTGGTAAAATCAATCATCATAGATGCCCCATGTTGACCCAAATGATCCATTCCAATGAGGATGGGGACCAACATAGATCTTTGGAAACCAGGAGCATGTAGTTCTGGTGGATTGGGTAGGGCATAGACCTTGAAGTTGCGGGTTTCACCTGAAACGGCACTACTGATGCTGGTACAAGGCACGCCCCCACTTCCCATTCCCATAGCGAAAGTATGGCCGAGCGGATTGGTCCACTTCGATCACAGCTGAGTGGTCCTGTGCCACGACGGCCTTGATGAGGCCCTGTACTGCGAGCTCGGGTCCGGCTGATGCGGTGGCCCCGCAATCTACCATACCTTCAAAATCGCCCTGGGTAGATGCCAAGGAGGTGGAGTGGCACTCTTTTGAGCTTTTGGTGCTCATGTCCAGGCCAAAGTACTCCGTGGTGTAGGAGTTGACAAAGGAGCGCGGTGGTGCAGAAGCGTTCTTGCCAGAGGACCAGTTCTTGCCCTTGCCCTTGAAGTACATGGCATCGTGGTCGTACTCCCCGAAGTTGGAGAACTTGCCCTTGTTTTTGCCCTTCTTACCCTTGGAGCTCTTGAAGTAGTAGATGTCGTAGTAAGGGTCCATGCCAGCCATGAAGCTGGAGTTGCCCTTACCGCCGGCTCCTTTGGGATGAGCAGGGTGACGTCGGTCGGGACAGTCACGAGCCATGTGATTGCCGCCGCAATTGAAGCATTTGATGGGCGACTTGCCCTTCCCGAAACCACGATCACGGTGAAGAGCAGCAGTTGCTTGTTTGGCCTGCACCCATGTGCGTTGAGCTTCTTGAGCAAGCTGTTCAGCGACACGTTCAGCTTGTTGTGCTTCTTGAAGATGGCCATCATCACCGGTGTCAGGAGCATCTGGCTCCTCAGGTGGTGCAGCGTCGTCTTCCCAGACGGAGGCGTCTCCAGCGTACCATTGTTGGTACCAGTCCTCTTCAGGCCACCAGGGCTCAGATGAGTAGCCTTGCTGCCACTCTGATCCATGATGATCAGCGTCAGGAGCTTCTTGATAGTGCAGGTATCCTTGATGAGCAGCAGGAGAATGGGCATGACGAGGACCAAGTAGTTGTTCATCCCAGAGAAGACGAAGAGCACTGCTGATGGACTCATAGTCCATCTGATTGCGCGTTGTGGACAAAATGTCCCGCTTCTCCTCATTGGAGAGGCTTGCAGCTTGAAGCAATCGCCAACCTCGGAGAACACCCATGATGAAGGAGTCGGTGATGGACAGCTCACTCACGAGGTTCCCATCGAGGGCCGCAATGGGTGGAATGGTTGACTCCACAGCCGGTGCAGCAGTCGATGGAACAGCAGGCGTAGGACCAGTAGCTGAGCGAGTAGGCGAGGCACCGGGAGCTGCCTCTCGGGAGCTCGTCTCTCCTGACGTATTGCCAGGTTGTTCTTGTGATGGTTCAGAGGCAGAGGGATCAGCAGGCTCGGCACCATAGAAGGAATCATCCCATGGATCGTAGTTGGCCTCATCGCCGTACCAGGACTCCTCGCGGTAGGCCGGAGGGATGCCGAAGTCTTTGTCCTCCTGCTTGATGCCATTCTGCTCCTCGTAGAGACGAACCAAGGCTTCCGTGAACTCTGCATATCCCAGGGTCTCGCGGATCAAGAAGGCCTGCATGGTCTCCTGAGGGAGGCGCTTGAAGGCAAAGTACTGAGCGCAGATCGCCGCAGTGTTCGGGAGGCTTTGTCTGACCAGTGGTGATGCTGCCAGGCGTCTGAGAAGGTCACGGGTACCATCTGGTGTGTCGAAAGCTGCCAATGGCCAGGACATGGCCAGCAGCCTTGCAGGTCCTGTCAAGCGGCTCACCAAGCGGGTGGCGCAGTACCGCCGCTTATGTGGTGGCACTGATTGCACCCACTAGGCAGTCTCTCTTGTATATTTGCGCCATGTTTTCGCTGAGCCATCCCAGGACGGTGCGTTGCCCTCCTTGTCGCTCATGATGTGGATGCCAACCTCAACGTCGCGTGAGCGAGGGAGGTCAAAGCACGGGTGGTGTATCACAGCAGGGAGCTGAATGCACACACAAAAGGAAAAGCAGGTGGTAACCCTTGATGCACAGGGTCGAGCCAATGAAAAAGGGCAGAAGGTCTCTGATGTACAGAACCAGGCCTTAGGCGGATCTGAGAGGGTTCAGGAGCTTCTGGATCGGGTAGCCGTGCTCCGCTACCAATGCAATGGCGTAGCTCTCAAAGCGCAGCACAATGACGTGTCCTTTTGGCACGGGATGCGAAAGGTGGTCTGTCCACCGGCGTAGTGATGGCTGCACAGGTCGATTGCTAAGGCGCAAGGGGCCCCTAGATGATTGGTGGCCGCGGTATGCACACAGGTGACTCATGTGAGGTCCTTGCAAGGGCAGCAACTGATAGGCCCACATGTACAGAGGCCTAGCTGAATTGCAGAATCCTTGGAGCCCCTTCTTCCGTGGCTCAAGCCCACGGCTGTCAGACAGGAGCATCCCAAAACCCATGGCCTTTCGAGCCGCACCCTCCTTTTCCAATCACTGGGCTGCCCGTTTTCCGATCCCGGATTCCCCCGCGAAAGGTTTTTTCTTGTGGGTCAAACGGAAACCCGCACTAAACACTAAAAAGCTAGAGGGCTAAGGAACCGGATGGCTGGGAGCCAAGTTCAGGGATCCTTCTCAACAAATGGGCCAGCGCCCTGGAGGGCGCTGGCACACTAGGTGGTTCAAGAGAACGATGGGTGAAGAGAGGATGGGGAATCACACCTTAGAGTGTTTTCTGGTGACATTCCTCTCCGCACCAAAGAATAATGGCAATTGAAAAAAATGTTCGAGCTTCAACCGCCTTTTCGTTGGGATCTGCATGGTCTCCATCGTCCAAACTGGAAGCTAAGGATCTCAGTACTGCCCAAATCCGGGCCCTTGGAGCCAAAACCATAAGTCCAGACCGGGGGGAGGTCCCTTTCCGACTTTGGCAATGCACTTCGGGATCCCCGAGGAAATCACCAGTTGGACGCTGCAGTTCGGGATTCTAACTCAATCCCCACCATCCCTACCCACTCCTGTGCACTACAAAAGATTTCCAAAAAAGGGGGAACTCCATTTGTAATCAAAATCGATCAGTATTAAAATGACGGCGATGGCACCCATTTATGGTTGGGATCCCTAACCTTCCTCTACCCGGGTTTTGATTGTTCATGTTTACCGCCCAGTCTTCGGATCCTTTCGCGGCTTAAAATTGACCCTTTGCGACAGGAAATTCAGAAGCCAGAGTTCAAAGTTCGGACCCTTTCTTGTTGAACCCACACCTAGATGTCGTGGACTTGTCGTTGCCGGGATTTTACATTCAATCGTGGCTGGCCTGGCTATCTGACCAACTTTTAGAAATTTGGGTCTCTTTCCGGAGAGGCTTCTGGGAATTCTGAATCCTGTGACTGTCTCAAGAGTTGCTTTCATAGAAATTGTGATTTCTGCCGAAAAAAGTGCAAAGACAACAACACAAAGAAGGTCAACACCTTGGATTTGTTTACCTTTAAAAGGCGATTTGTCGCAAGGCCCTTCCCTCTTGGTCTCAAATGATTGGTATGTGTATAAATTGATTGCAACAAAAACAAGGCCAGGAAGTCGCGCAAAGGGGGACGCCACAAGAGCCCCTGATCCGCATTTATCTGGGGCCCGCTTTCATGTCAAGCTGCTTTTGGGTGGGTGTGAACTCCAAGATCAATGCCTCAGCCTGTAGTTCTTCAGGGTGGTTTATCTCAGATCTGGGAATCTGAGAGTAAGTCTTGTTGGTAACGCACAAATTTAAATTTGCAATTCTAATTCCAGAGTTGGCAATGAAGTATTGCATTGGCAATGCTAAATGAAGTACGAGGAATCTGAGAGTAATTCTTGGCAATACACAACAAAGTATTCGCAATACTAACTTAAGTTCGAAGGCATTGGCAATACCGAAAAGAACTGGGCATCAGAGAGTATGTCTTGGCAATACTGTCCCGCTAAAGTGGCGCCACAAATGGCTGTTGCCACTTTTGGGGTCATAATGAAGCAGATCCTAAACTACTAAATCGTGTAAGGTTCACAAAACAATGACCAGGATTCCAGCATCTTGCGGAAGCTACGCACATCCTTGTTGCAAGCCATCCACAACCGTTTCATCGAACCCGTTCACCGGGCACCCGTTTTCGCCCGGGCGCTGCTGGACCCCGTCGTGAAGGCAGGCGATCTCGTTGAGGCACTTGGCAGTCTCGATGCGGAACTCCAAGGGGTCCCAGAAGTGCATCAGCAGCATCTGGATCAAATCCTCACGCTGAGGAATTTTGCTCTCAGCTTCCCTCGTGGAAAGTTTGGAGCCGACTCGGTGTGGTGGTGAAACGGAGGATTTGTTTCCCATTTACCCGCTGACGAATTACTCTCAGCTTCCCTCGTGGAAAGTTTGCAGCCAACTCGGTGTGGTGGTGAAACGGAGGATTTGTTTCCATTTACCCGCTGACGAATTACTCTCAGCTTCCCTCGTGGAAAGTTTGCTTACTTACTCCAAGTACCCTCTTGCTTTAGTAGCATCTGGATCAAATTCGATACGAATAATCAAAATTGTCACTAAACTCAAACATTGCGCCAATATCAAAGGCCTTAGGTTCGGGAAAGCAAGATGACATAGTCCCAGTCCCCACTCCAAATACCCTTTTGGTTTGTACAGCTTCTGGATCAAAAAATCCAATCATGAATCAGGGTTCTCCCACTGCTATGGAGGTACGAAATCACTCCGTCAACATCATCCTCAAAGGGTACTTGGGGTTTGCAATCACCAAATTTCATGTACCAATGTTTAGGGGATGATTTCATGACTGGAAAAGAGGTATTTAACATGAAAACCGGTTGTGCCTTCAAACATATGACAGTACACGTGGGTATTTTATCCTGTGTAAATCGTAGGGGAATATATTCGATTGCATCTTTCCATGTGCGACTTTGCCTTGCAATGCAGCATGAACGATGTTTACCGCGTTTACCAGAAGCCATCTGCGATTGGTCACGTAGCTCCCTTCCGCAAGTTGTGCTTTCTGCAATACAAAGAACAATCTATCCACTAAGTGGACGTTTGGATTTGTAAGGGAGGGAATTGAATTACCTCCAACTCACTTCGTTCCTAAGATAATTTCTGAATTGTGGATCCTAAAGCAAAGGGAATTACAGGGTGTGAAAGTCATTACAGAGAAGCTCTTGGATTACAAGCCTGGATTTTATTGCATCCTTTTCCTCTCTTTCCCATCTTCTCGGTTGATTGTAGCTCTGTCAAAGTAAAACCAATTACTTGGATCCCAAAAAGTGCAATCCAAAGGGCCACTGAGTGGCAACCTGAAAGAAACTCATGGCCGAACATTGACCAGTTCCAAACAAAATCTGAACAATGAAGAGCTGCGAGGTGACCAATCGTGACCTCGCTCCCGCCCAAATTTGCCAGGGTCTCACATGAAGTAACCCAAACCGCCAATGAAAACACACACACACACACACACGTCACACGCGTCACACACACACACACACCTTTTCGTTGGTACTTCAGAGGGGCTTACCCCTTCCTCAAAAAACATGCAACAACAAGAACATGCCAATCAGGCCACCCCACCCCGCAGCGAACCATACGAAGGGGACTGAAGTTTGGGCCTAAAAGCGGTTGACACGTTTTTGTTCTTCTTCTTTTTGTTTCTTGTAAGCAGTGGTTTATGTTCCTGTTAAACATAAAGCATATTATATAGCCAACCCAACAAGTCTGAGGATCTGTCTCGAAGATAAAGCCCAGCGCGATCCACTCCAGGAAGTTGGCCAAGGTGCTCAACGTCGTGGTGATCAACGACACCTTTCCGCTGGGACCTTTCAAAAGCGAACTAGTTTTTTACTTTCCTATGGCCATATGGATATGGGTCAAAATTAAACCACTAGGGGATCCATGTACCAGGGTTCCAGTTTGGGCACCTACTTTTTGACCCACACCCATATAATTATATATTGTTTAATGTTTAACAAGAGCATAAAATACTTCTTTCAAGTTACTTGTGGCTTTACAGTACAAAAAAGAAAAACAAACGGGTCAACCGGTTAATTGTTTTTGGGCCCAACTTCAGTACCCTCCGTTGGGGTTACTTTAGGGTTCCGAGTGTCCACCAAGGTCTGACGGTATGGGTCAAGGACTGAGCACCTACGAAGGAAATTCCAGGCCACTACCATGAGGCGCGGATGACCTTTCGAGCTGCGGAAATTTCGGGGACCTGCATTGAAAAACATCACGGGACTCACGGGACTCACGGGACACGGTGGGTTTAGGGTTTGATTCCGAGCATGAACAAAATCAGCTGCGCTCCTAACAAGGCCGGAATTCTAGGGGTAACTTCCAATTCCATGCTTTCCGGGGATCCAGATCTTTTCAGGAAACCGTCAAAAAGCCCGGGGAAACAAACGGTTTTTGACAAGAACGATGGTTGAAAAGAATGGGGAATCAACCCCTAGAGGAATGGAAGTGTTGGGCGTGCAAATCCCAACCCGCCTTGATGGTCCCAGGGCTTGACACATGGCTCTTCAGAATGAAGCTGCACAGCTCGTAGATGGCGGCGAATTGAGCATTCAAAGACTCTTTCAGCTTGACCACCTTCCTGGGCTGCGTGTTTTCTGATCCTCCGCTAAAAGTTTAACTTTTAGTGGGTTAAATGGACACTACCACTAAACACAAAAAGGCGCAAAAGCAAAGGGGATGGCTGGGAGCCACCAAGCTTCCTAGACACCATCTGCGACTTCCCAAAGGTAAAAATCTCCTCGCTGAGCATGTTCAGAATTCGGAGATTATTCTCGCACAGCAATTGGCTTGTTTTGCAGGAGCCGCAAAGGTCTGGGATAAAGTTCTCCCAGGAATGTGGCCACTCTTGCTTCACGATGTGGACCAGCGTCTCATTCAGCTTGGTCAAGAAATGCTTCTGCGTCGAGGCAAAATGCTCGTCCGCGGAAATCTTGATGACGAGTTGCACGACGTAGTTCTTGATTCCAGCTTTCTGCGTGTCAGGCAAAACCATCCACCTGGTGCAAATCACATTCTCCAGCACGTTCAGTGCGAAGAACTTGGTGTCAGGACTCTGAGACGTGGCCAGTATCGTGTCTACGGCGAACCAGGAGTCCGGGTGCACCTTCACCTGCGTCAGCACCTCGTGCGCGAGTTTCCGCTGCGCCTGGTCCCCGGAGTACATCAAGGTCACCACGTGGTCCAGCATCTGTACCCTCGTGCCGTCCCAGGGCTCCTGAAATCTAAGCAGCAGCGCAGGGTCAAAGGGCAGCCCAGAGGCACCGCCCGCCATGGCATTTCGGAGACGCCGACGCCCAAACTGCACAAGCGGTCTGCCCAAAAAAGAGAGTTACGAACTCACGGGCGGCTGAAAACCATGAAAGGCATCAGATCATCACAGTGCCGTTCGATATTTGCAAGGCTACCCGGCCATTGGCAGCTTATAGCTTTGCATGCCAAGGGTGGTTCGAAGGTTTATCCGGCCAATGCCTCTGGATTCTCCTCCTGTTTTCCGCATCGGCTCTGCTTGGAGGATACTAGCCTTGCACTTGACTTCCCAGCTGTGAGCAATCGCCGAACGACGCGACCTCCCAGAAATCTCCGGTTGACCGGACACGGGGCTGGCAGGTTGTGGCTTGCTGGGGCGTCTCTCAAGTAACCCGAGGGGCAACCATTGCTTGCCTGGAGCTTCACCCAAGCGATGGACGAAATCCGTTCGCACCACTTGGAAACCATGGTTGAAGCCTGTTGGTTGGTATTTACGTTGGGGAGTCATCAGAAGCTAGGGTTTCTTTGGTGAATCGGTTTTCGTCCACAGTACGTCTGGGCCACCAACCTCCCGGCCTCGTCTTTGGCATACAGAATGCTGTGTACTTCAAAAAGCCCGGGAGTTTCAAGCCCACTGTCCAAGCCTCTGCGAAGTTCTAAGTTGATCCTCAACACCCAAAGCTGGCTCCAAGCCCGACTAAACAATTAGAGTCTTTGTCAGAGGCTTATTTAGAGAAAACCAAACGGATTTGTCCAGGTTTCAGGAGGGGCTTGGGAACCCTTTCTTCATTTCCGGCTTCTGGAGTTGGACTTTTTTCGAGGAAAGGGTGCGTCTTGCACGGCGATCCCCAGGAATGTATTTTCTTCCCTCGGCTTCCCTTTGCCCAATTAGAACCCAACCTCGCACTGTCCGGTGCCTCCAAATTCACATCCCTGCACCGCAGGAACACGGTGTCCTGGTGCCGGATAGACCGGCTCCGCAGCAGGTTCGTCAAAAACTGGGCCACCTCGGGCGTGGGTTTTTTTTCGAACCAAAGATCTGGGCGAGTTCGTGTAGGGAGGCTGGAGAATTGATTGAAAGAGCTAGCCATCCCCTTGTGGTTTCCATTGGGTACAGTAGAAGTATGGGCCATTCAGCAGCCAGTACTTAGCATAAGGCACGACTTGTGGCTCACAATGCTCTGCCCCGTGGCGCATTGAACGCAGCCTAGGTAGCGCAATCCCTCTCAATAGCCGATTTCACAAAGTAGTGTTTGAAGAGGGTTTCCATCACTTTGTTCGATGTTTAAACACATAAAAGTGCCCCAAAGCAAAGGACCCACATCATAGTGAACTTGTTTCACTCCCCCGTGTGTGAGCTTGAGATAACAAGTGTTTACTCCCCAAGTCGGTGGGCGTCATCGAGGTCCTGATTTCCACAGAACAACTCTCAGCTTTCCCTCGCCAAAAGTGCTCATATGTTTGGTTCTGGTCCATGGTTAAAAGGCCTTCCAGCAGGAAAGAACGCAATCCCCCTTGGCTCAGATCGCAAAATAACATTTCTGCCACCAAGTCAAAGTCATATGTGTGTATACATATATACATATACAAATTCCTTGTTCCCGGAAACGCCATCTTCACGGAGAAACAATAGTTTGCGCGCCCTGCGTTGTCAACTTTCGCAGACAACTTTCGAAACACTCCTCACACAATTAGATCACGAAGTACACTTCCGCAGCCTCAGCTCGAAAGTTGCAACTGTTCAGTTCCAAGTACACGAAGTGCACTTCCGCAGCCCGGCTTGAAAGCCGGGGGCCCGTTGGCCACCCATGTCCAAAAAGACAGGCGGGAAGGCGCGGAAAAAAAGAGAGAAAGAAACGAACCCCTCTGCGGCGGCGCGTACTCGCTTAGCAAGCTTCCAGAGCCGTAGCCGAAGGCTACCAGGGTGCCGCCGACCTACGTAATCCCGGCCCCACTGCAAAAGAAGCTTGGTTGTCTTGGGATGGCTGCAGATACCTGGGTCCCTTCCACCTCGCGCCAAAAGCGACTAATGCCCGCTCAGACTTCTGCTGGGCAGGAGTCTAAGCTGGTGATGCAGCTTTCCAGGGTGAGGCGATGCATTGCCCGCGTCACCAAGCATCGCCATGCCCTGGCTGGCGGACTCAAGGTTTTGCCTAGATTGGGGAATTGCTCTGCTGCAAGTCGGCCAGTTGATGATGCTGCCGCCGACCCCTTGGCTTTGGCGTGAGGATGTGAGCAATGCGGGCTGGGGCTTCGCTGCGGCCAGGCTGGGGTCCGGGGCCATGGAACCTGCGGGGCTGACCCGGCCCAAGCCCTAACCATAATCCCTGAGAATAAGGTCGGAGCTTTTTCTCGCCAAGCCAGCGCAGCTGGTGCCAGGTGCAGGGAAAGGCAGTTAGCCATCATGCAGTTGATCCTTCCGGAAAGAAAAGTAAGCATCTTGAGAAACAAATTGCGTGCGAGTGCAATTTACACAAATATGCGCTGTCACAGATCCGGTAGGGGAAATGAAGGTTCCATGTTACATTGGTTTCTGGGAGGGAAATTGCTTCAGCGCTTGTAAAGGTATGGGGACCATGTGATGCACCCCATGCGAAAAGGAACGAGCAAGGTCAGAAATCAGAGAAGAAAAAAAACAAAGAAAACATTTAGGAATCGGACCCCCCCCCCCCCAAAATAGCGCAGCGGTGGTCCTTTTCTTCCATTTGCGTAAGCCCCCTGGAAAATGTCGTGCGGCGATAAATTCCCTTTAAAGCCAACAAGGGAAAGTGACACAAAAAATTTTTAACTGATGGTTGAGTTGGTCTCCCTCCTCCAAACCCAAACACAGAAATGGGTACCAATTCCAACAGCCCAACCCTTGAGAGCGACATGGCTTCGATGTTCCTTGGGGTTCCCTTTAAAGCCACAAGCGCCACAAAAATGGGTACAGACTCCCAAAAACGGACAGGTGCGATTGCGAGCGAGGCGCGAGAGAGGTCTGCAAGAGTGGCACGGAACAGGAATGGTTCAAGATGTCCTGGGCCCTCTTCGTGGTCTCCCGCAGCCTCGCTTTGAGACAGGCATCACACACGAAAATGCGATGGGTTAGACGTGTCCCAATTGGGGGGGAAAAGCAAAAACGCGGGCTGTTCTGGCAGTTTCCCTTTAAACCAACCTGAAAAGGGTACCTGCAAAAAAACACCCAATTTCTGCCGTAGGCATTAGCATGTGTACGTGATCTTCCGCGTTGATCTTGTGTGCGGATGAATTATGTTGCAATGCTCATGGCTGCTATTGCAGTGCGTCTGTATTCTCCCACAGCAGTTGCAGCCACGCATTCATGTTCAAACTTAAACGCTGTTTCGAGAGCACTGAAAGCGCTGAAAGCCATGCGGAGCTTCTGACTGACAGTTCGACAAGCAGGGCCTTCCAACACTAGGTCCTCCAGTAGAAAGGTTAAAATAAGGGTACCCCCTTTTTCTGTAGTCTGTTTTAGTAGGGGAACCCTCCCCAAAAAAAAGGTAAAAGGGCACTACTGGGGGACCTGGACAAAGCCCTTCTAAGCATCATTTCGGTGTCTGTGGCTCGCTTGCCCAAAGAACCTGAAAATCAAAGCTTCGTTTTAAGCCGGAGGACCATACCAATCAGAAGAACCCCTTAAACCACATCAAGCCCAACCACTAGAAGGGGGACCACCCTGATTGGTACGGTCCTTCTTGATACGAACTCAAAAAACAAAACTTTCTGGAGGCCACAAGTTTGAGACACGCTTCAGCAACTGAAATGGCGTGCGTGCGTGTGTGTGTGTGTGTGTGTGTGTGTTCTTAGATGAGCCGGGTCATGCCCGCCAGCTGCAAGGTGCGGTGAGGCGATTTTCTTGGTCTCCTCATTTGAGGTACACTTAGATCCCACCTTGTGACCCACTCTTTCAGCGTCGTCTTTGTTGCCCGCTCCGCGCGCAAGTTGCATGTTTGGCATTCTGTGGAGCATGGTTGCAGCCTGATTTGCGGTTGGCATGATGCACATGTTGGCAGCATGGCATGCATGGGTATGGCGCAGCTTGGGGCGCATTTTGCTGGAAGGGTGCCGACTTGAGCAGGAGGGGGTTGACTACTGCTATATAGCAAACAGTACCAAATGGCCAATTAAACCAACAAGTCAAGATTTCACCTCACGCATTTGCTTTATGCATGATCTAAAAGACGGCTGTTGACAAATGCCCTTCTTGCCAAGGCCGTTGTTGTAAGAGTAGAACTGTCAATCTGATTCTATCTTCCTCTCAGGACCACAATCTTGGAACTACGGCATGTTTCAGCTTGCCTCCACTTGGTGGTTTGGTGGTGAAACGGGGTGGTTTCCCATTTACCCCCTACAAGAACCAAAGGTTCAAATCCAAATCCAAACCACCGGGCTCCAAACCCACCAATTCAGGATTACCTGAATGTTGTTGACCTCGGGTACCCACTTTTCTCTGTAGTGCACTTTAGTAGGGGAACCCTCCCCCAAAAAAGCGTCAAAGGGCACTACTGGGGGACCTCTGGGGGACCCCCTGGTGGGTTCCATGTTAGACAGGGGGGTAAAAACGTGAAGCATTGGGGTGAGGTCACCACCAAGATGGGACTCACTAGTGATCCATGTTCATAAAATCCCGGGCTCGCACGAGGAGCTCTGTGTGTGCCATCCTCATTTTGCACAGGTTCCACCTTTGTCTTCCTTGTTCGGTTCCATGATTGCGGGCCATGTAATTCGGACCGAATTACTGATAGAAACCATAGCTGGGGATTCAGTCCACGCGCGTGCTTGGCCTAAAGACAAAGGCGGGAAACTCGAAGGCTGTTGTCTTTTTCTTGACTTTTGCGTTCACTCAGCAGGTAACTCATTGCAACATGTGAACCATCATGGGTCAAACTGCCCGTGCAGGCCATGGTCATAACTCCCTTAGAAGGAATCCTTACCATGGCGGTCCGATGTTCTGAACAAATGGTCCAGGACCAATCCTACCAACCCCAAGCAAAAGAATGCTTTGGACCAAGGCACATGCTTGATGATAAACCCAAACTCTAGCCTCCTGCGTAAATCGCAGCCATGGCACATGTAAATCGTATTGTTCTTCCTGGATTTCCCGGACAAGCAGAGGCGGAGCTCTGAAAAGTGCAAGGACTGGTCCTGTCGCTTGGTTCAAGCGCTCGGGTTGCACCCTGAACAATTTCAAGGGTAGGGGTGGCAAATCGCGGGGCCGGGTAAATCGCTAAGGACAATCAAGCATTGTGGGCGATTTTGCAGGAAAATCCAAGAACAACCAATCACTCCCGATGGCTATAAGGGAACATCATGGAATCGCCGGCAATTGGTTGCACGGAGAAAAACAAAAACAAAAACAGAACATGAGAGGTGTGGCCCTAAGCCTTCGGGGGTGTGGTCCGGGGGTCCGGAAAAAAGTGCGGCTGGCAACAAGGGGCTCCCCTAGAATGGGGAACTCGATTTTGTCACAAGCCAAAAGACTCCCCTACGGCTGGCATTGAGCGCCCAACTGTTTCTATGTAGACTTAGCTGATCCCAAACCCAGTGGAAACAAGGTCCGACAAACATCTCGGATTTTGGGGCGTCCTGTGCAACCAGGGAAGCCGTGAGAAAGATGTGTTGGAATTGCTCGGCAGTAGCCCGCGGAAGCGTTTAGGGCGGCACCCTTGGGGTTCCTCAGGCTTTGCGATCCGGCGGGTGGGCATGCCGCATGTCCGTTTGCGCGAGACTCTTTGCCCCAAACCTCAGGATTTATCTCAACATGGGATACCACTAAGTAGGGACCGCTTTCTCTTTTGTCTCCCTGTCGAAGAACCCGAAGAAAAACAAAAAAAGGAAACCCAGCACCCATAGGAACACTGGAGGGGTCCATGACAATCCTTGCCAACCCAAGCGAAAGGGTGTCTTGCCAATGGCGCATTGAGGCGGCGCATGTCCTTCAATGGAGTACTGAGCCTCAAACAGAGGCCCCCCCATTCCCATACATGATCCACAACACACCCCTACCCAAAACCGATACCCGTCAACCACCGATAGGTTTCTGGCCCGACCCAAAGCTCCATCCGCTTGCCTCTCAATTGGATTACTTCAAGTTGCCAGTGACCCTGTGCAAACTGGCTGAACCTTTTTTGGGGTTCACTGTCAACAAACCCTAGGCGCTCAGGTGACATCCCCAACAGCATTGGAACCCTCTGGAACCCTCCCTGAAAGCTGGTCCGAATCGCTCCAGAGCAGAGTTGTGGCATCAAGGGGTTTATCCCCACTTCTGTAATACAAGGGAATCCCCTGTTGATATGGGCGGGTTAGTCTTTGGGAGGCCCTTTTTGTTGTATCACAGAAGTGGTCATTTCTCACAGCCCTGCTCCAGAACCTTGTGGGGTCTTTCGATAGTTGCAAAAAAGGGGAACAACAATTGAAGCAAAAAAGGAGAACAAATCAACAAAAAAGGAGAACAACTCCAGTGTGGTTAAAACACACCATGGGTCCCTGCAATGAACCCCGGTTTTCCAGCGTTGAGATTGGCTTTCTAGAAATCAACACGTCCAAAGGGGGGCAACCAAAAAGTCAAGTCCCAAAATGAAAAGAACAAAAACAAGCAAAACACAACCAAAGCGTTTCTGAAAGAACAAGGGAAACACACACACACACAGGCTATATAAACCAGCACAACCCCAACTTTCTTCAGAAAAAGACAAAAAAAAAAAACAAAAAAAAGAAACGGACCAAACCCACACCAAATAACCATTTTGTGTTGGTTGTTGCTTTCCTTTTTTTCTGAAGGGTTGAAGAAAAAACCCGGGAAGACAAGAACCACCGCACGGGAAGCCATGGGCTCCCGCAGCTGAAGCTGAAACTTGAGCGCCATGAAGTACTCCCCGAGGTTCGTGGGCACTCGGAACCGGTTCCTCACCTCCACGACCGAAGGGGGGGGCGGGGGGTGGGGGGGTGGTCGTGGGGGGGTGGTCGCCGGGGGGGGGGAGGGGGCGGGGGTTCCGACTTTTTTTGGGGCAGGCTCGAAGAAGAACGTGTTTTTTTTCACTGGTTCCGCTTTGAAACGCCAAAACACAGCTAATTATACCTTGTCCAAAAACCACACAGAAGGGGGGGGAAGATGCGTGTGGGATGAGCCTGCGGGGGAGTGTCGAATAGAAGCCGCGATCCAAGGTGGATGTTGAGGTCCCACCGCCAAGTGGGAGAAACGTGGGCCATGCCCTCCGGCAAGACATATAGTTTAGGGATCCTTACATTCTACACCTGAACATTGCAACTTGTAAATGGTGGTTTTTTGCGTTATTTTGGTGTAGAAAAAGCAACATGTTTCAAATGGTTGCAAAATTCGAATTTCTTTTAAGGAGCCCTGTGGGAGGCCGCTTGACTGCCGTTGCTAAGAGCATAGATGCGCTTGAAGCCTTAAGATCAAGTTCGAAGGCTTCAAAAAAGGTCAAAACCGGAATCATGGCTCCAGGAACCCAATATGATATCTACCGGTTGTACTCTAAGGAGTTCCTGGAAACTTCCTGGAAACTTCCTGGAAAGTTCCTGGCAAGTTCCTGGAAAGTTCCTGGAAAGTTCCTGGAAAGTTCATGGAAACCTGCTGGAAATTTGCTGGACAGTTCATGGAAGGTAAGTTCCGGGCAACTTCCTGGCAAGTTCCTGGAAAGTTCATGGTTTCTTCCTGAAAAGCTATTAAAAGATCATTGCAAGGTTAAAGTTGCTGGAAAGTTCATGGCAACTCTTCCTGGACAGTTCCTGGAGAGTTCGTGAAAAGTTCCTGGACACTTCCTGGAAATGTCGTGGAAAGTTCAGACTGAATACATCAGGACTACTTGAGACAACCAACACACATCTCACTTGTTAGCTCTTGCTACAGACTGGGACTGTCTTTTATGTTTGAGATCCAAAATCAATAAGGTGTCAGCATGAGCTAAATGATGTTATGGAACAAACCTCAACAAGCTCTTGATTTTACTTAGATGCGCTCATGTTTGCCGCATGTTTGCCACGGCAAACAAGTCTGGATGCGCGCTGCCTTGACAATTTTACATGCGCTGACTCCTTTCCTTGCTTCACGAATGCTGTGGCGTTTACGAAATCCTGTGTGTTGGGTCGCTGTTGGAGCCTTGCTCTCACACCCAAAATTAGCGCTGGCCTTCTTGTTTTCAGCGAGGTTAAGAACATGTTCACCGAGATTAGGTACTTACCAAACATCTACATAATTTCAATACTTACTAAGAATTTCGCAGCGCAAACTCTTCAAGGAAAGTCATGCCGAAGTCACGCTTTCGCTATCGCTGATAACAATGGAACGCCAACACGCAACGTTTCTCGTGGGAGGCCCAACACTTGTTTGCTGTTGACCCCCCTGCAAAAAGTTTAACTTTTTGGAGGTTTAGTGGGAAACACCTTTATTTCTCCAAACGTTAAAGTCTAAATAAAGATCCAACCCAATTGCAGTCAAGGAATGTTGAGCAAACTCTTCCGTTTCCGTAAATCCATGGTTGTAGTAAACGGGCGGAGTGAAGCTCCCAGACTGAAAAACCGGTCACAGATGTGACTCCGGCGTCGTTGGGGTTCCATGTGTCCCTAAAGCCATGGAACACTTCAGGGAACTCCCTGAGGCATATCCAAGGTACCCCTACTGAAGCGTCGACTGCACGGAATTCCGATGGGCCCTGCCCCCTTCAAACCAGGCCAAACCAATTTTCCAAAATGTGGCTGTGGGTCAAAAATCGGTACCCAACATGGAACCCAGGTAAGTGGACACATCCACTAAAACCTGTGATTTCCTGGTGGCTTAACTTTGACCCATACCCATGTGAGAAATGGTTGCTTGGTTGCTTGATTCAAATGACGGGCTTTTTGCGGCTGGTCCAGGCTACAGCATATTGGACCTCCGCTGGGGATGTCAATAGAAAACTTCTAAGGGACAGTTGCCATGAACCTAGCCCAACGGAGGTGAGTTATTTTTGTTTGTGACATGTTCCTGCATGTTGTTTCTTCCCCCCCTGAAAAGTTCTGGGCTCCTTTGACAATCACTACATTGACATGGCTGTGGCTCAAAAAAACGGTACCAAAATGGAACCCTGGTAAGTGGAAACATGGACCAAAACCTGCGCAACCTCTCCGCTTTAATTTTGAGCCACACCCACATTGACATGTCTCCGAAACTTGGGGAGTTCAACACATGGGCGTCCTTCCTGTTTAACCTTTTCAACACCATTCACACGTGGGTTCAACTGACTTTTGGACCCATATTGAGACTCGCCAGTTTCTAGTGGCAACTCTAAGCGCCTGCCATTGGTTTGTTCTGTCATCTGCCCAAAAGCCCTGGAGATAAGTCGAAAGTGCTGGACCTTTGACTGACCCCAGGGGCGT